TGGTTGTCAGCAGCAAACTGGTTGATCCACTCTGAGAAGGTGCTATTTAAGAGACTGAGCTGAAAACAGCACCTCAGACTGAGGAAGTCTCTTGGATGAGAGACGAAACGTTTCTAGAATTTTTTTTGCTTTGTTTTGCTTTTGTTTTTTTGAATGTCCAGAGGACCAGATTGAACTTTTTTGGATTTTTCTACCTGGATTATTGAGCATGCATCAAGATAGTTTTTAAGTTATTTTGTGCAAATGCAAAGGAATAAAATATTAAAAACCTAAACGATTCTGTCATATTTTAAATACTGACAGATTCAATAAAATTCATACAACTACAATTACTTATAGGAAATGCAATCGGTTTATTTAAAGTTTTGCATGTAGCAGAAAACAGGGCAGCACTGTCTGTTTTGAAATAAGGTGAACTGGTGAATTGTTCCTTTGAATTCTACATGACATTTTCTATATTTTAACTGCAAAAAAACAAGAGTGTTAACCTTTCCATTTTTTCACATCCTGTTAAGCTGAAGCACGTAGAGTTACTTACAGGTTGGTGATACATTCATGAAAACAACTTTTATATAAGAAGCATATGTGAATGAGGTTTTGTCGTAAACATAAGATTATTATGCATTTTTATTAAGTTTTTAGATTTCAAATAACTACAGGTTGTGGGTTAAGGTGCTGATGGATTACTTTATTTACTGGATATAATGTATACTGGTAATATTATTATTCAATAATTGTTTATGTTTTTGTTACTGATGCTAGTTTTTTTTTGTTTTTTTTTGTTTGGTGAATTAAAAAAAATTGTTTATCTACTGTATTTAACTTAGATACTATATTGATGGGTTAAATATGGGTTTAGTTGTTATATGTATGGATTATACATGTAATGTAAGATTATGTAAGTGATTAAGAACTCCCTTGAACATGTAAAACAAAAAATTTTGACATGCTTCATGCTGTTTATTTTATTATTATTTTTTTACATATTCAAAAAATAATAAACTAAATTTTATCACCCCACTCAGCAGCAAAAGCTTTTTTTTTTTTTACTTAAGCGTTTGTTTTTCCAAACTCCTATCTTCTTTTACATGAGTTCCTACTGTTTCCCTCCTAAGGTCCTAGCAGAGATGGCACCATTGGTGAGGACACCATCCGCGCATCTCTGATTTCAGCTGTGAGCGACAAACTTCGCTGGAGAATGAAGGAAGAGATGGACAGAGCTCAGGCAGAGTTGGATGCGCTTAAACGGACCGAGGAGGACCTGAAGAAAGGTCACCAAAAGCTGGAGGAGATGATCTCAAGACTTGATCAGGAAGTGGTGAGATATTCTTTCCTTTACCGTGTTAAATCTTTGCACCCCCTTCCTGTGTTTTGCTGTTAGTCACCATGACACCTCACTGTTTGTTTCAGGCTGAAGTTGACAGAAACATTGACCTGCTGAAGAAAAAGGATGAAGAATTAAGTGACGCTTTGGAGAAAATGGAGAACCAGTCGGAGAACAATGATATAGATGATGTCATTGTGCCCACAGCTCCTCTGTACAAACAGATCTTGAACCTGTATGCTGAAGAGAATGCAATCGAGGATACGATCTTCTATCTGGGAGAAGCTCTTCGCAGAGGTGTCATCGATCTGGAAGTTTTCCTCAAGGTATCCTTCTGAACAACTGCTGGCAGCCACGTAGTTTACTGTCGCTCTCTGTGAGGCTGTTGTTGTTGACTTGCATGTGTTTTTTTTTTGTTCCAGCACGTACGCCTTCTGTCCAGAAAACAGTTCCAGCTTCGTGCTCTCATGCAGAAAGCTCGCAAGACTGCTGGCCTCAGTGACCTTTACTGACCCACGCTGACAACATGGAAACGTGCATATCTTCACACTCTTACTCTTCTTCCAGCTGTTCTCTTTTTACTGTCATCGTGTAAATCAACCAGCTGGCTTTTTGTAAAAACGAACAAAGACGGAACGTTTTTAAAGAATTTTGAACTATTTGGGTGTCACCTGTGTTGTGGTTGGCACTATAAAGCGTCACAAACACAGTCCAGATGTGGAAATAATTACTTTCGTGCCCTAATATTGTATAGAAGCTCCACCACCTTTGTGATTCAGGTAGTGTGGTTAACGAACTGTGAGACACACACATGCCAAATTGGTCAAATTTAAGTGCAAGTCCAATGTGTGTATGCAAAACTTTTGAGTGTTTAGGCTGTAGTTGTTGTTCACACTGGGTTTGTGTGTTAACTTGTAAACAACATCCTTCCCCGATCAGTTTTACTTTACTGGACAAACGTATTTGGCCAGTCGGCACAAATGGCAAAGATGAAGATTTGAGGGGCTTCGAGTAGGACTGCTCAAGTTAGCCAACTTCAGTGGGAAATGTTTGAAGTAAATACCCACATAAACTGACGGGTCCAACCTCAGGATTTGTGAATTCTTGTTCAGTCGTCTTGGAGTCAAAGGGATTATTTCTTTGTGGTTGAGGTGATGACAAACATGGACCCCTACCTGTTTAATTTGGGTAAAACTACCCCCAGACTACACATTATGCCCAGTGTGCTCCTGCTGGATGATCTGAGCTGGTGTTTTTTGTTTCCGTCAGCGGCTCAGGCTAATTTTTCTGTCTTGATTGTTTTAATCAGTCAGTAAAGTAAAATAGCTGTTTCACTCTGTACAGTCTTGGCATATTTGATTCTAAGATATAACAAAGGCTCTCTAATTGTATTTTGTTTTACAGTTTTGCGCTATCCACTCCTGCTCAGTCCTGCTGAGAACGTTGGGTTGTCATTTAGTGTAGGGGGTGAAATTTATGATTAAAGCTGTGGGCTAGAGGGTATAAAAAAAAAAAAACTATCAAACTAATATGTTAACTTATATATTTTGTTTCTTATAGCAGCCTTTTTTACTAAATGCACTTTGAATTGTATGATAGAATATCAGCTTTTTTCCTCGTTTTCAATTCAGCCACAGACCACCTGTTCTTTTATATCTATAGATTTATGTAAAGTGGTATAAACAAATAAAGCAATCTGGTTTCATGAGTTATTTGATCTTTTTAACATGGTTTTGTGACTGGTTGTGCATTAAAGGAGAAAAAATATGAACTTTTCCATAAATTCTTGACTAATTCGTCACCCTCGGGTCTTATCAAGAGTCTGTCCAGCCTCGTGTTCACACATACCAGTCAGCTGTAGTATGACAGTTTGTGGAACATTAGCCTTCTTGTCAAGGCAGGATTTTTATTTCCAAATGCCCCAGAACCAAACACAAGGACACCTTGAGATCTGCTTTGTCCAAACACTGACCGGTCGGTGTTCTTGCTACGGTGTAGTTTCAAGCTGCTCAATCCACAGCTCTACAAACCTTTGACATGGAGGACAGAACAGGAGACAGACCATAATCATTACTCTGGCAGGTTTATTTGATGCGACAAATAAAAATACTCTTGCCATGACAACTATAGTTTCTCTGTAAGCGATACAGTACTGTAGATTATTGTGTTGTAAAATAATTATATTTGCTGTCTCTGCATTACTATTCATAAATGACAATATAGTTTATCTGTTGGGTGACAAAGAAAATACTAGGGGACTCTGATGCATAATCTTAGGACAGATGACTTAAAACTTGACTCTTGGTAAAAATACTATATAGTCTCCACTGGCTCCTGGCTAGATGACAGGATGTACTTGAGTATCACAGGATTTTTGCCAGTAATACCCAACACGTGGCAGTGTTCTTGTGACTGGCTCTTCCTTGGTAGAGAATGGAATGTCTCTGTTTTGCTTCTTTTGAACAGAGATTGCAGGATAAATAGTAAAATCCACATATATATATATATATTGCACACCAAGTGTACAGGGACGACAGCAATAGTACACAATGACAATAACAAAGTACATGGATCCAAAATGCAAAGATCTTGAGAACATTCAACAGAGAGTGCATGTGCGCTCTAAAACAGGCTGACCTTAAAGACTAATGTAAGAGTCTAAATATTCACTCGCAGACAGACGAGGACAGGTGGGGAGGTGGAAAAGGAAAACGATCTGAGTGAATATCAGCGTGTAACACCTAGCTTTGATCGGTTTAGCTACATGCACTTTGTGATATTCTGAAGTCTCTTTCACCCATCGCTGCAAGGGACACAGAAGGTGGGGGTGGGGATCCACCTGGAGAATTCAAAGCTGAGCTCTTCACAGGGTGAGCTCCTTCTGCACGCCCCACAGGGTCTCGGCACTCTTCACCAGCTGCTTCTCCTCTTCAGGTTTCAGGGTCATGTGGACGACATCTGTCAGGCCGCTGTTTCCCAGAACACAGGGGATGCTCAAGAAGACCTCGTCGTGCACACCGTGCATGCCCTGTCCCACAGAAGAAGAAGAGGAAGAGCTGTCAGGAGACGGAGTCATTTCATCAGACAGTTTTTTGCTTCGTTTTCCCCACCTGGACAAGTGTAGAGACGGGGTGAACCTTGTGCAAGTTCTTTATGATGCTCTCCACAAGGTCCGCCACAGACATACCGATCGCCCAGGAAGTGTAGCCCTTCAGCTTGATAACCTCGTAGGCCCTGAAGTGTTCACATCGTAATTAAACGTGAACAGAGTGTGACAATTGAAAAATTCCCAAACTTGCAAAAAATAAAAATAATTACAGAAAAACGACTGAACTGATTATCATGAAAGCTTCTTAAATAGAATGCACCAAAACTAAACCATTTCCAAAGACTAAGTTCACCATTCCTAATCTCAGCTTTTTCTCAAGACACCCTTTGTGTACATTTAGAACTTGTCTGAAAAGTGTGGAAATGTCTTTATTTTGCACCTGATACCTTAACATGTACAACAAGTCACCCTTTTGTGTTCCACATGGCTAACCTCCTTAAACACCCAGCTGCTGCAAGATAAGTCACGCTGAGTGGCTGACAAAATGGTGGTGCAATGTCAGATACAAAAGAGTATTTTTTTTAACTTTGCTACATCCAGTGCAGAACAAAATGCAGCACAGACAACAGGTAGTGCACATGAACTCATTTAACCACGGCCTATAAATTGCCCGTCATTTTAAATGTCAAACTTGGTGGCACACGCAAAGCAATTAAATCATTCCATTTAAAAGACGTAGAACAAATATCTGTTGTGTAATGATATTCCACTTGAGCACAGCGCTGCTGGTTTTACAGAGTGGATGTGTGAGAGGAACATTAGTTGGGCCAGTTGTTTGAGCTCACTGCTGGAGTACTGGTGAATCAACTGAACTCACCCATCAACCACCTTCTTGTGCACGTCCTTCCAGTTCTCGCTGTCATCATCAGCCCCCATTTTTGGGTTGAGGCTTTGAAGACTAACTCCAGCGATATTCACGCCACTCCACACGGCCACTGAGAGAACATACAAGTGACAGCTGATGACGTCTAAGCTAAATATGAAAAAAAGACACAGCAGAACTAACACAGCTATCCTGCATTTTAAAGACCAGCCCTAGAATAGAAACTAAAGAGAGGGGAGTGAGGAGGGGATTTATTTTTAGGAAGACCAACATACCACTGGAGTCTCCGTGCTCTCCGATGATCCAGCCGTGGCAGCTTGAAGGGTGAAGGTGGAACTTCTCTCCCATTAGGTGGCGGAAACGGGCGCTGTCCAGGTTGGTGCCTGAACCGATGACACGGTGGCGGGGGAACCCACTCAGCTTCCACGCCACGTAGGTCAGGATGTCCACTAAGAGAGCAAAAAAAAACAAACATTATCCGCCATTATTCTGCAAAGAGCAAGTGTTAATATCACATAAATAGGCCTGTCACAATAATAAATTTTGCTGGGCGATTAATTGTCTCAGAAATTATTGCGATAAACGATTATTTTGTTTGCAATTTGACAATAATTAGTAATTATTGTCAAATTTAAGAAGAAATGTTTGTCACTTTGTTTTTTGTGTAGTACCTTTTCTCGACCACTGGATGGCAGTATAAAATGGAACCGAAGGATAGATATTGAGGGAGCGAGCAGCGTGTCTCTTTAAGAAAAATGGGAGGGAGGCCCCTTGACGTGACACGGGCTGTCTCTCCTTTTTTCGGTTCTCAAAATGGTGGACGCTCGGTGTGGTTTGAGCTCTTTAGCATAGCATTTTTCACACAAAGCTTTTAATTTAAGAAAATCAGTAAACAAGTTCTCAGCTTCTTTTTGCAGAGAAAAACAACTTTTTACATGAAGGCACGGGTTTCAACTGTGAATTTTGGAGCTTTGACAAGACGGAGCCCCCCCCCCCCCCCCCCCAATGTCAGCCTGTTAGCTTAGCTTCTCAGCTTAGCTGCTTTTAATGATCCAAAAATGTGATTTTGGACCATTAAAATGGATTTTAAAGAGAAAGGGAGGGATCAGTGAAGAACGGAGTTGAGCTTTTTGTCATCCAGTGTCTTCAGTAGAAAGAGAGGCACGAAGAAACGATAAAGCCGATAAATGACAACGAGGACGATAATTTTCACCTATAGTGCGATTAATTGATTTATTGTTCATCGCGACAGATCTATACATGCATGTCGCAAAATTCTCCAGTAATTATCTGGTCCCTTTCCAAGTAAAACCACAACTTCTCATTTACTGTCATCTCCTTCCATGCACCCCTCCTGATCTGACTAACCTGGGTTAGAGACCACCAGCAGGATGCAGTTGGGGCTGTATTTGACAATGTTGGGGATGATGAACTTAAAGATGTTAACGTTGCGCTGCACCAAGTTGAGACGGCTCTCGCCCTCCTGCTGGCGGGCACCAGCGGTCACCACCACCACCTTGGAGTTGGCCGTCACACTGTAGTCTAAAGAAAATGACAGCATTTGTACACAGCTTACAGAAAGGGTCAGTCAGACAGTCACTTTTGAGAACTCTCACCTTTGTCGGCTACAATCTTGTGCGTCTTGAGGAAGAGGGCTCCGTGCTGCAGGTCCATGGCCTCACCTTTTAACTTGTCCTCCATCACATCGACCAGAGCCATCTCATCACACAGGTCCTGATGTCATACAAATAATGGAAGTCAACAATACTCAAGTCTTACCGTTTACATCAGGTTGTGAAAATGAAGGGAAACTAATTGAAACTATGAGCAACCAGGCCTCAAGTGCACCCCAAACGTGAAACGAACAAGCCAAAAGTAGGTTTGGCGTTTTATTTTGTGGAATGACGAACCACGCAGTCTTCACATTTACAACGCCTGGCACTTTTCAGACCCATTTGCTTTTAAAGTATTAATCTGGCTTGTGGCTTGTACGCACCTTGAGCAGTACGCTGACGGCAGAGGCCATGCCCACCATGCCGACGCCCACCACTGTCACCTTGTTCCTGCAGCCAATAGGCTCCTCCTTCATCACATGGCTAATGAGCTTATCCTTGGTGGACATCTGCAGAAAACATATAAAGAAGGATTTACAAAAAACACAAGGAGTACACCAAAAGACATGGGGTGAAAGTTGAAAGCTTAGTGTTACGTATGAATAAATTGTGAAGCGTGGGCTCATCGCAGGGCGTACGTGACTGACTTCACATCCTCCAAAAGGACTGAGTCAGAGAGGAGTTTCACTTTTATGTCCCAACTACTACTGAATTGAGAAATGTGCCGTTTCCACTCCTGTGAAACATTTTATTGCTCAGATCTACCCGCCTTGACTCCAAAACCATTTACATATGAGAATTCACAGAGCCTCTGTTCATCACCATGGACACCACTGCCTGCCTGGGGAACGACTGCAGCAGAGACCACCCCCAGCCCCCACGTCACACACTGCTGTTTGTTTCCTGGTTGGGCAGCTCGCAGACGGTTACGTCACCAGTGTGACTAGGCTGCATTTCCACTGTGATGTGAAGCGACGCACGTATCGGGGGCAGTTCTGGACAAGGTTTACCTTCTGAACGAGATGCTTAAGACCTCAAGTTGTGATTTTGCACACAATAATAATAATTCAGATTCAGCAGCTGCACTTCAATTCTCAATATGCAATCACGAGTCCCCTCAAAGAGGGAACTGAACTGAAAGCATCCTAGCATCTCATCATGGATTTGCCCTTCACACGAGAGGACTTGCTGTAAGGCCTGCAGGATTACTGCCTTTGTGCTCTACTGGCAGATGTTATGTTTGCCCAGAAACGTCCACGTAGCCAGCCAGTGAGAGGAAAAGGCATTGCTTTTTTTGCTCAAGCTTTGAATTAAGGGTGTCCTGACATTTAGTGGTGTCACATACCACAGATGAGGTCAAGCTTCTCCTCTGTCCTGTTGCTGCTTCAGCACATCATGCTCTGTAAATTTTACAGCCACAGCTACGCACATAAAAATCTGTCTATTAAATAATTCTCCTTGTTAAAAAAAACAACAACAAATAAACATAGTTGCATTGTTACCATCAGGAAATGAATTAGTTTTGGTCAGATTCACTCTCCCAACACTTTGCATGTGTAAAAGGGCTCACATTATGTCCACTTATATACAGACAAGCCTGATCAAGATGCTGGTTGGAGAAGAAGAGGGCGTAACCATGACGATTATTATGGGATCTCTGCTGCAGTGAAGGAGACAACCAGCATACAGGCTATACATGTCGAGCAATCAGTGAAATGATGTGCGAGCAGAACCCCTGCAGGCCTCTATCTTCATCAAAATGTAATGATTTCTCATGTGAGCCACAAAAAGAGAGCAATGTGTCACATCATGGCAATTAGACTGATCTTCAGACTGGTGAGGTCCAGAGAAGAAGTCCTGGGTTAAACGAAATGTTACATATTCTAGTCAGATTTGTTGGTTTGTCTTACCTTTATGGTTTTAGTTAAACAGGTGAAAACACGACGTGGAATGTCACAATCCCTCCACTCTTCCGCACAAGTGCAGCAGCTCTGAAGCGCGTCTGTGGACTTTTAAAGGCAGGCTCTTCAGTGGGCGGAGCCTTAATGGTGATGCTGATGGTGATGATGATGATGAGGAGGAGGAGGACGCGGCCACGCTGCGTGATGAGAGTCACGTTTGCTGCAGGATGCAAAGCAGACACTAAACCACAAATTATTCTCGGTTTACAAACGGGAAAACCGTTTATTTGGAAATTATGATTCAAGAAAAACGAAATCATCGCACGGAAATGATGATCAGTTCCACGTGCCACGATTTCCCTTTAGTACTCAGTCCATATTATTGTACTAATCTAACAATGCTAATTGATTTGTTCAACAACAGCATATTTTAAAGGATATTGTCTCAGTTTGAGGATTAATTCGTTGTAAGAATATAAAAAGAAAACAATATGGCTCCCTCTGCTGTCCAGTAACTGTAATTACAGGAGTAGTTGGTCATCATGGATGTTCTTAGAGCCTCTTATTATTAAACTTATCTGGAGTTACAATGTGTGTTACCCAATGTAGGCGTTTTTTCTAGTCTGATAATACCGACACACCTTACAAAAGACACAAGTGGGATGGAAACTAAATGAAATGTGCTAAAATGAGCACTGGTATTAAACTATTTGAGTGATGCAACTTAACCAAGGTTGAGTTCTGCATTAATACTGAATCCACACGACTGCCGGTTTCTGCAGAAGATACAACTCTTCAATCTGTGCAGGAGTGACTATCATAAGAGAAGTAAAACCCCTGGATTAACTTGTTGCCTCACCACAGGGGGCTGCCCCATGTGTGCAAAGCTAAAACCTGTTGCAACAATATGATTATTGCTCATTTCATCACCTTTATAAAAACACATTGAGATCAAGATGTCTTTTCCAACGGTGACCTGGCATAGAGCTCAACAGCACAGAAAATACAGGATGAAACATTTTTTTATCCACTTGAACAATTTTTTATTTATTTAAAGTGCATGGGCATAGCATAATAATGGACTTATTGACTTCAAACACAAAGTGGTTAAGCAAACAGAAGCAATAGTTAAAAACAAGCCATTATTTGTAGGCAATGGTTAAACACATACACACACACACACACACACACACACACACACACAAACATTCAAAGGTCTATACGCTCTTTCAGACTTGAACAATAAAATATAAAAACATTAATTAGGGCGAGCAATTTCAGATCAACCTGCGGGGAGCTCCATGCCGAAGGGGCAGCAAAGCTGAACCCTTTTTTCCCTGATTCAGTTCTGTCACAAGAACAGAATACCCAGTATGAACAGACTGATGGTGAACGACTCAGACACACTAGAGTCAGTTCAGTGCTTTTATTTACAGTAATACTTCAGGATTAAGGAGATGGTTCAGGTCCAGAGTTCACCACAGGGTTTTACTCAGAACGTGCAGGTTCCTTACTGGTAGACGGTTGGTAATCTGTTAGGTTCTAAAACCCATCACCAACACGAGAAGATCCAGAGAGCTCAGGAGGGCGTGTGGTTGGAGGGCGAGGCGAGCAGCTGAAGATGCACAGGTAAGATCTTTATGAGGAGGTTCAGGTACTCAGATAGGTCTCAGGCGATTCACTGGAAAGATCATAAGAGAAAGATATACACAAGGCTCAGAGATACACAAAGGCCTAAGAGCACGAACCATAAGCAGGGTAATGCTCCAGCGTTGAAGGAGAGTCACCACCTGCACACCTTGGAGCCTCATCAGGAACACATAATCTGCAGGTTTTCAAGTATGGCGCCCTCTGTTGACCAAACACTGGGACTCCCACAAGTTCTGCCTTGAGGAATTGACATGGACAACACTGAGGAATAGCTGCTTATTCGTTGTAGAAAAGTCCACACGTTAGATGGATTTAAGACCAGTAGTGTCTTGTAGATTAGAGTCATCCAGTTTATGCACTCAGAGAAGACAACCAGATTTAATGTATTGCTCACAGTGATGAGTGAGGCGGCTGTAACCAGTGACAACTCTCAGGTCACTGTGGTAGACAGTGCTCAAGGACTGGAGATATTTGGGTGGCACGCACATGCATGACATCATGTTCGAGTAAGAGCAAAAAGGTAGCTGATACTAAGATCTTCCTGACTCTGAGTGGAAAACAGATTTGGTTTATCTTGCTGTCTGCTTGATGCTTGAACCTGAAGTTAATAAAAACTTACTAAAGATCTCTGTAAGTTGTCTGATTATCTTTATTTTAAAACAGAAAATGTAATGCCACAACAAAAAAGACCAGTTTTCCTCTTTGTACAGAGCCCTGAAATGACTGACACCATGTAAACAGGACAAACAGAACTAACTGTGTCTTAAAAGGGATATTTTTTTGTGTGTGTGCACAACTTTAACAATAAGTTCACAAGCTTTAGCCTGGCTTCTGACTTTAGGAACTTGTCAGTTATACAGACCATCAAAGTATAATGTGTAAAATCAATGGTTGGATGACGTATGAGGGAAATAACTAAAAGGCAGTTGTTTTCAGACTGATGTGTCAAGGTGTTTTTTTTTTTTTGTATGATAATCACCTCTGCAAGACAAAACTGTTTTACATACTATACTTGATATAAAATTTGAAATCAGTAAGTTACTCCATTTTTACTTCAACAGCCACCCCAGAGCTTTGAGGTGACTCATTTTTATCAGTCCTTCCTCAGCTCCTGCTGTGAATATTCTCCAACCAAATTTCAAGTGCACATGTTCTGTTTGCACAAGAAAATATTTTCAACTGGATTCAGTTCAGTGAACATCCAATAATTTGTTTATTTTATTTTTTATTTTTCCAGATGTGTCGATGCACATTGACCAGGATTCAAATGCAAGACTAGACTAGAGGCCTGCAGGCAGGTAGATAGTGGAACCAAAAACTTTACTAAAAAAACCTAAAAGTGCTGCAGAAGCAGAGAATATAAATATATAAACTCAAATAAACCCAGTCACGCAAGAAGAGGGGAAAACAACCGTAAGCCACTGAACAGACCAACCGTGCATAAACAGAGGATATGGCAATGTGCAAGGAAGACCAAGAAGAATATATATGTATAAAGCTGATAAACAGAGCTAAGGGAATGCAGGTAAGCTGCTTAGAAACCAGGTGGGGAATAGGAAGCTAAACTCGGCATGCAGCTGAGGACATCTGACTAAAAGAAGAAACAGGAACCAGAAGTCACAGTGATGCATAACATACAACCATCACAGTTTGTAGGGGTAAAGACCCTGGAACGCAGACTGACACTGATCTCAGATGAACTTAAATGGTTTATTTGAATAATTAAAACTAAACAAAAAACTGCTGTGGAAGCAAAACATACAGGTACTTAAGGAGCAAGCACAAGGAGACACGAGGGCAAACACGGGATAAAGCACAAGCAATGGTGGACTGATGAGGGAATGGAAACTGTTGTAATATAAAAAGCTGAAGTGGAAGAGAGAGTGGCTGCAGATGAGACTACTGGGACTGGAGACAAGTGCTAGACTTGTGACCTGCCCAGGGTGTACACCGCCCCTCACAGAGACTTTAGGAACTTGTATACATGGAAAAGTGAGTAAAGAAAATGAATGAATAAATATATAATTTTACCTGATAAACTTTTATTTTAGTATTTATAAAGTATTACTTATTTTCTTTTCTTTATATTTATTCTTCTTTCAAGTGTAAAATACCACAGCTGTCTTAACACAAGTCGACCAGCAGGGGGCGCCATCATAAAGAAAGCTTCTGGCTCTGCAGGCTCAAACTCCTCCACTTGATTTCAAATTCCAAGCTCAGCACTAGTTATTTTGGGTAACAAGAGGAGATAACTGTCAGCAAATGTTGTCAGCATTTTGTGAATAACAATCTTCTTTTTGAGATGAATCTGTCTGACAAAATCTTGCACCAAACATGCTTGAAATAAATTAGTATTATGTGTACAAACGTTTTTTTTTGTGTGGGTGTGGCGAGGGTTAGAATACTCTTTTCATCACAAAATATTTCATATTGTAGGTGGGTTATTTGTGCCACTTGATTAACAGTTGTCTGAATCGACAGGAAAAACAAGCATACTGCAACATCTCCAGGGTGCAAAGCTTTAAATTTACTTATATCAGAATTCATCACATACCAATTGAATTAATAAATAAAGGACCATTGCATAAAATGTTTAGGGTGCTCCAGTGTGAGACTCTGTCCATTTAAAGGACACTGTTAAATTAAACATCTCCTTTTCTTTAATATGTGCATTTAGTCCCCAGAAATGGAGCCATCTTCTTCCCGTCCTTGCTTCTAAATAACTCGTCTTTGTCTTCCAGCCTGCAACACCACCTCATCTTTTGAGTATGTGTCAGTGCAATGTCTTCCTAGCCGCCCAGTGGAATAAGGAAACATTAGTTTGGCGTGTTGGCTTCCCCTCTTACAGCACAGGGTCAGTTGCCAACATGTTGTTATTGCACAGGGCATTGGGACTGAGGGGCTTCTGCCATGGGTGATACCTGTCTCAGGCTGCCACTGTAACAGAAAGTAATCTAATCACCTCGTTGCAGCAACCTCCTCCTCCTCCAGTTTGTGTTTTGAAATAGAACAGAGGCAGAAGAACAAGGTCTCATCAATCATAAAAGGATTCTCCCGGGAACAACATCATACTCACAACTCCTACAGAACAACACCCAGCCCGCTGATCTGTCCTCATTTTCCTCAAACAGACACAATCTGGACCACAAACATCTTAGCAGCAGTCATGCTTCTTTCCCCCACAATTCCATCCAGATCTTTCTTTTGACATGAATCAAACCTCCTGTTTCATCTTTTACTTCCTTAAAAAGAATCCTTTCTCACCTTTCTGTCCTTCTGCTTTTCCCTGCATGAGACACCTTCTGCCTCTGATAACATCTCTGATGGAGTTCCTTTATTAGCCACCCACAGGCAGATTAACCGGAGCAATAATACACCAATCAACAGCAATTACACAGCGATAAGCCCAGGGAGAGCTCTGCTGGATGTGGGACTGGAAGTAACAGTTGTGGAATGATTA